AGCAAAAAAAAACAGAGTTGTGGCAAAGCACTGACGTCTTTCCCCTTCTGTCATAAACATCTATTATTGTAAGGGCTTTTTTCTTTTATTAAACCTTGGCTGGACATCGAAGCTCAGATTGATGTTTATTTGCCCTCCAGGCCAGAGAAGAAAGATTTTTCACGACGGTATATTTGTTCAGTTTTTCTTAGTTAGTTAGTTGTTTAGTTAGTTAATGTTTTTAACTCTGCCTTACCATTGTACCTTGACTGCTTGTCATTAATTTTCTGTTTATTCTTTGTGTTATGACAGCTTGTTTTACTTTTCTCATTTCAAAAAGAAAATCCATTTTCAATAGCTCTTTATAATTTATTGAATTCAACTAAAGAATTGATAAATAATTTATCTTTGTGATTAGTTGCGATTTAAAAAATATGCCAAAGGTTGCCAAGGTTGGCAAATAGTCTGTTCTATGTAGACAAATAATTAGTTTCCCTTTTTAAAATTAGATCAGAGAGAGTTCTAAAAAAAAGGCTTATTTTACAAATAAATCCAAATGAAAAAAACTGAATGGCTGCTTGGAGGATTGGATCACCAGAAGATATTCAGTGAGACTGAATATGAGCTAAACAGGTGAACTTTTGTTATGTTGGATTTTAATTATGTTCTATCTTTGTTTTTTCCTCTATTTAGCTATTCATCATTGATCACAAAGAAGTGGACTGGAGAATAGCTATAACAGGCCACAGGGTTCTTGTGATCACCTTGGAGCTGTTGGTCTGCATCATCCATCCAGTCGGGTCGTACTGGGAGGTGGGCCTCTACACCAACTCCTCCTCCGCTGCCCCACTATGTGTTTCCAGTCACCATGACAAGACTCTAGTGGACATGGAGCTGCTGCTATCCATGCTCATGTTCCTGCGCCTATACCTGGTCCACCGAGCCATTCTACTACACAGCAAAGTGCTTCTGAGTGCCTCCTACAGGAGCATAGGATCGCTTAACAACATCAACTTCACCTTTCGCTTTGTTCTTAAAGTACTGATGAATAAACATCCAGCACGTGTGCTGCTAGTGTTTATCCTCCTGTTCTGGCTTACAGCGTCGTGGATGCTGACGTTGTGTGAGAGGTAGGTGATAACTGCGAACAGCATGTATAGATTTTATCTGGGAAAGAGCACCATTATAACTATAGAGGTAAACATTACATCACCCAAGAGGAAATACAGGATTTAAGGCCTTACCTTCAAAGTTTCCAATTTTTCCCCTTATTTTTTTAAGCACATGCAATAAGTTGGGATGTTGTAGGAGAGGTGGAAACCAGTTTAGTTGTGCCCCTCTGAAATGAGGGGCAGAACATGAACATGCAGTTCAGAGTGATCGTAAAAGTAATATAGGCTACTATGTAGTCAGTTTTAATGATAAAAATAATTTATAAAGCTTGCAATTTTAATACTAAATAACATTTATAGAGCACTTTACATAGGTAATCTCTTAGTGCTAAAGACAACGGTAAAAAATAAAATGATTCAATTAACTGAAGGTTAATAAAAAAAAAAAAATCTTAAATATAAAACATAAAGTTGTCTTTGTTGAACCATGCTTTGTGCTTTGTTAAATCAACAAAGATAAGTGAGAGGTTTGCACTTTTAATATGCTGACAAGATCTAAATAAAAAAGATGTAGGGTAAACTAGGATGCTTATGAGAGGCAATGCAGGACAGAAGCAGCTTTTCAGCAATCCCTTTCTTTTGCCATTCAGTTAGATGAGTGCCTGTTAATTGATTTTCTCTTCACTTTTTTTTTTTTATTTGACCCAGAGGATTTTTATTTGGATTTATATAGGTAGAGTGGGACAATTGTTTCCTCCAATAAAAGAAAAAAAAAAAAAGAATCATCTTGGCTTGACTCTATAAAGATTATCTGCCATCCTGCAGCATCAATTTGTGCCCACCAGCTCTATATATTATTTTACAGTTGTTATTTTTTTAAGGTTGTAATGTGTTTACCTGTGCACAGAATCGGACTTTCAGAAGTGCTAAAAAAGGAACTAAAATTGAGATTCAGATTTGTGCGTGCAAAAAGGGGTTTGCACATGCTAGCTGCTGCATTGCAATTTCAAATCACATTGGACCTTCTTTGAAGATCTGGATGTGCAAACATGTCTGCACCTGATCACATGTAAAACTTTATTCTGTAAAAATTTCTTATTTTAATATGTTCGCAAGAAGCTTCTGTTTACATAGCAGATTGTTTCTTTTAGATAAAAATCTATTCTTTCCTGCAAATATACAGGAGAGTCATATGAGGCAAGTTAGTAATACTAACGTTAATTAAAAGAAAGTAATCCTTCTGCCGAAATTATTGTCATTGCATACAAATGAGCTGTTCTTTACCAGGGTCTAAAATTGTTCAGATCTAACCTACAAAACCAAACACCATAGATTCTACAACCATAAAGCCAAAATACAAAAGTTTTTTAAAAAACACTAAAATTTGAAAACCAAAAATACTTACAATCATGGTTTGGATGTTCACATTTTTTAATAAATGCTCAAACTGCTATTTTTTACTTAAGTGCTTTTTTTTATTTTACATGACAGAACAAGACAAAACATAAAATAGGGGGAAAGTGATACATACTTTCAATTTTTTTTTTCACAAACTGAAATTTGGAAAACTGCAGACCATTTTAGCCTTTAAAGGAGCTCCAGACTGGTGTGGTGAATCCGATAGTTTCCAGCCTTACGGGCGCCAATTCATGATGGAAAGACATAAATAATGCTGAACATCGGGAGGTCCCTATGCTAACTGAACTGGCAATAAGAAGCATCCTGCCTCCTCTTCCTAGCTCCTTACTGTCAGCACTATACATACTTATCATGATGACACTTCCACTTTGGCTTAAATGTCCTTACCTTTTTGCAGTATTCCAAAGGAGCCTTTTAGGAAGACTCCTCGTTATGGGGCTGACAAATGCAGCCTTCTTTTTGCCTTTTTTGAAGGACTCCCGTGTATTACTTTTTTTTAACCTATCATATATAAATATTTAATTCACTGCTATTAATGTAATCAAATTTTTATTTTATTTTTTTATTCATTTATGACGATTCTTAAGTTAAATAATAAATTAGGTAAAACAACATTTCATGGTGCATTCATCTATATCGGACCAACAATTGGCTCTGATGTGTTGCTTTGCAAGAATACTTTTGATTACATTTTAGAAGCATATTAGTTTTCATTAGATACAGCTCTAGAAAACAGTATTTTATTCTAAGTTTCCCTTTTGCTTTAGCACTCTGATTTTTTATTGCTAACTAATTTAACAGACCTCTTCCATAAATTGAATTTGTAATTAGTTTTATTTTATTCATTGTGGCTTTCCAATTCGTGATGTAATAGTTTTTATTTTAAGTTCTGTGAGGAAACCAAATGAAATGATCCCCTGCAACCTGTTAGGTGAGGTCATTTGTACATTTAAAGCCTAATGATAGGTCTAACCCAGACTTAGACTAAGTGTTTTGTTTTTCCAAAGTAATATTAGAGTTTGAAAATGACAGCTTCTGTTCCCGCTAAATCTTCACATCATGAAGTGTTACACCAGCCAATCTTGCAACTACCTACTTACAGAAGACAGATATAGTCTCATCCAGACTTTTTATCCACACTCATGTGGAAAGAATAAATCTATTCTTTACAGCATTCCTTCCATTTATTGTGGTTTAAGCGCATCAGACTCTACTCCATTTGGCTAATTTAATAGCTTCATAGTAGAGACATAAAAACGGCAGTCCATAGAAATGATTATTTGTTCCACAGCAAATATTGTGACATTATTGTTTAAAGCATATATTTAGAAATTAGGAAAATTGATAGACAATATGACCAAAACAGAATATTAAAATATCTATGCACCACTTGTGCCCTTTCCTGAAGGCAGGCTTAACTTAGTCTGAGTAGAGAGCAGATATCATGAGTAAACCTATTTTGATCTATAATATTCAGAATTTTCTTTTTCGGAACAGGTGGTATCAACAAAGTAATTCAACTGTTAGTTACCTTAGCTGATTTCAGCATCAGTCTGAGTTTAGAAGAAGCCCTCATCAATGAAAGCCATATAAAATAATCAACCCTGATAGTGGGATGAATTAAGGAACCTCAAAGTCTGTATTTTTCACTAATGGAACTTGAAATACTAATGATGGCTAATGGAGGTATTCAAAACATTTTTTTTTTTAAAAGCAATGCTGCTGTAAATTTGTGAAATTAATTTGGCAGAGACCAGGTCAAGACCTTAATGAGGTTTGACAGAGAATGTAAGCTGCATCCTTGACACAACATTTATTTCATGTGTGTGAATTTAAATTGCATATACACATAAAATAGCAGATGTAAAAAGGACAAAGAAGTAAATCAAGATAAACTATAGAAAAACAGATAAATCAGGCAATTTCCACATATAAGCTATGATGTTTAACATTTAACAACTGAAAAACACTGCACTCATTGGCTTAAATAAAAAGATAATTAATATGTTAAACCTTGATTCATGACAAAATAAAGAAAATATCAGACATTGCATTTGAAACTGAGATTTATTTCACCTCTAAAACTCACTGTAAAAACAGCTTTAAAAGGTGGGCTTACTTGAAAACATGTAAATTGTAAACCTAACGATACAGCTGCAAAAAACACAATTTAAAATCCAACTGCTGGAGCATCGGTTCAATATGTGTGGGGCCGACAGAGCTGATTGCTCTTCTTCTTTTTAACAAAATATTAATACTTTATTTTCACTTATAAAGATTGAACAATACCGAATGAAAGAAAGAATTCATTTAGGAAGTGATTGGCTTTTCCTTTTGGCATTGTGGTCAAAACTCTAGCTAATCTAACACCAAACTCAAGATCCCCTCGCTTTACAATAAAAATAACAATACTTCTATACTGTGCATTCTAATGATCAAACAGTAGCACTTCAACAGTCCTTATTATTTCCATTCTATTCCATCTTTACGAAATCAATAGAATGTACCGAACCAATCTTTTGATACGTACGTAGCCTAGCCTGATGCTTAACTTGGCTCCACATTTTGGCTCAACAGTTCAGTGTAACTTGAGGTCATCATGACATGACCTCTTTTACTTGCTTTAAAATAAAACTCATTCTTTTTTACTGATAGTAGGTGCATGCCTCAGTTATTAGCTTCTTTCTCTTCAATCACAAACCAACTCTGTGACAAGTCCGCCATTTCCACCACATTAATCATCTTCCCAAATGCTTATATGTGTGCTCTTACCTGCTAGCTTTACCTCTGGTTTGCCCCACAGCACTCATGAGATACTTCTACTGATAGTTACCATGCATATATCATTAATCAACCTGCTCACCTGCAAAACATACAAGAGGTCAGAGTTCTGCACATGTCTGATTTTCAAAACTGTAGAGATCAGAACCACGACTCAACCGATTACCCACAATTATCCCCATTTAATACCTGGGACTGCCCACACCCATAGAGATTAGAACCGAGACCTGACCCATTGCCCGCAATTATTCCCGTTTAAAACCTGGGACCTCCCGTACCTGTAGAGTTTAGAACCGAGACCTGACCCATTACCTGCGATTGTCCTCATTTAAAACATGGCCGGAACTGCATGGACCCATAAATAATTAAGTGCGACCCGACATGGGATCACAAAGTGTACCCACAGCTGTTTATAATAACAGAGGCAGAAAAGAAATTGCCTCACACTCTCATCCAGTGCGAGCGGCACTCACAGATTAACAGCTGTAAATTGGCCAAAAAAAGAAGGTTTGCCTCGTTGCTTGAAAAAATTAGTCTTATCTGGATATTCTCATATCTATTTATTTTTTAAGGTGTAGAGTTAATAACAAGGAATTTTTAAAAAGTATAAAGTTTCATTCATGCTGTAACTCTATAGCCCCTTTCCCACTAAAACAATCTGTCATGACTGTCAACTTTTCTAGTTTAATTTCTAATTTGTGTTATTCTAGTTATTTTTGATTGTAATTGAGTTCATGGGTATTGTTTGCCCTCTACTGCTGTCTTATGTCAGGCTCTTTTTCCCCTAGCTCCCTTCTAGAATCCTCTGTCCACACCTGCACCCAATCTGTTGATTAGCCTGGTCTTTGTTCAGTCTCCCATTTATACACCTAATGTTCATTCACTGCTTGCTGGTTCTTTGTTGTTGTTCTACTGCTTCCTCATCTCTGGCTCCCCACGTGAGTTTTTTTTTCCCCTAATGTTTTCCGGTTTTTTGGTTCCTTGTATTTTTGCCGCTGTTGCCTTATTAAATCTTTAAGACCTTTGCCTCCTGATCTATGCATTTGGGTCCTCAAAATTCTCCACCCAGCTGTGACACAATCGGATCTTGGCCGTTTTCCTATTTGACCGAAAAGCAATGGGAATCAGGGAAGTAAATAATGGAGAGCAACATCGACGGGGGCCAGAGCATAGTCAGTATTCTTTATTATTAGTGTTCTTTTATCTTTCCCAATACTTATCGAATGTAAACTGAGTTGTGTTGGCTACTTCAGAAGCAACTGCCGCAGTGTGTTGACATCCGTACGTTGCATTCATAAGGGTCAGGTAATTTAGCGGGTCAACCCAGGTCAGGTGTTCCCACTGTATGCCGATCAAAGCGAGGTGAATTTTAACGCGGGTCGCTTGCCAAGTCGTTTGATCCGGGTAGACATGGTTCAGTGAGCTGTTCCCACTGCCACTAAAAACTGATTATTTAAAGAGGGTTTTTGGCCAGTGTAAAAGGGGTATACAATACCCACATTTTGTCCATATATACCCGTGAAATAATATGTATGTTTTTTTTCTATCTGTAGATGTATGTTGTTTATACGGGTACTCACCGGGTACCTGACCCATTGCAGGACTCTGCGGCAGGTTATAGGAGATGCTTGGTGCGTTCACTCTAAACTGCTTCACAACAAACTGGTCAACTTCTTCCGCTGGCCAGAGTATCAGCAAGTGGTACACACTGCTCTAAGCACCCTCTGCTGTGAAACTCATATTATACCTTTAACAAAAGCAATAGATACAAACAGTTGTTTACTTAAAAGACAGTAACCTAAGAACTGAAAATAAATTTAAAGCAAATCGTTTTTTCATAATCCCACAGAACCAAGGGAGTAACTGTATTGATAGCTGCTCTTTCGCACCATAGTAATCAGATTTCTGAGTGGGTGTGTATTTGTTCTTTATAATGTTTTTTGAGTTTATAATGTTATAGTCCCATTCCAACACTGATAGGAGGGTTGAGTTAGTGGACTGTGTCTTGCACAACTTGCATTGATTCAAATGGCTCTAAAAACCCACAAAGTGGGCTGTAATAATGATCAATGTGGTTGCCCTGAGCACACCTTTGCAGCTTCAAAATATTTTCTTTTTCACTATATTCATTCAAATAGTCCTTAATGGTTGTCCACCACTGACAGGAACTATACGATTAAGTGTCATGATAGAGGACAGATGGACCCTGTATTCAAGGTGAGACAGGCAGTGGGAAAGTTCAAAACGTTTAATAAAACAAAAACATAACAGAACTGAAGTGCAGAGCTGTGAATCTTTGGACTGCAGCGGCAGCAGAAGGGTGGGGTGCAACACATCACTGGCATTCTGGATGTGGGAAAAACAGGTAAGTGATTATGATCAACTGACGGAAGATAATCATCTTTGTGAGTCACTTATCTGGTTTAACAGTTCAGTCCATCCTCTCTGAGTAAGGCAGGGATCCGATCCATGTCAGGGAAAACAGATCAGACAGGGACAGTTCTTAAATCCAGGACTCATGCTCAGGGTAACTATGCAACAAACATAACTAACATCTAACATGAAAAAAGCAATGATATGGCCCCGATAGCTGGGCTGAGCAACATGTAAACAGTAGGCGCAGGTGCATAGGATGAGTGATGATGAGAGAACGGGCAGGGAACGGCAGGTGAATGGAGTAATTAAGGTCAGCCATTAGGGCAGATCATGACATCTCGTTTCTCATTCTGTAAATATTCACCAGCTCTGTGTCCATGTGTAAATACTCCTCATTTTTGGTTCAACTTCGACTGAAATTTCACATCCATTACAAAATGTGCCTTCCTTCCAAAGGTCTTGAAGTATTAATGTTCTTTTATTATAATATAATTTATGAAGTTTTCCTGACAGGCCTTGATTTCATCTGTCTATTCATCTGTCACCCCACCCCCATCCCCACAGACGAACCGAGGCCCTGACGACGGGACAAATGGACACAGCCCTGTGGCTCATTGCCATCACATTCCTCACTGTGGGCTATGGAGATGTTGCACCCAAGACCAGCTGTGGCAAGGGGGTGTGTCTCTTTACCGGTGTCATGGTAAATAGCTTCATATTCTGTTGAGGAATGGTGTTGTGCTTCATACCAGGTGGCTGTTTTGGGTTCTCTTGGGGATTAGTAGCTATATATATCTATCTGTTACAGAAAAGCAGAAGTTAATGTTTGACTTGAAAAACTTGATGCATTAAAGTGTCGTACCTTTGTGTCACTTCTCTATTTATTAAGTATGAAACATTTGAGAACTTTGCTTTCACAAGATAATCAACCTGATAACACAGAAATAAGCCTTCTTTTATTCAGCTGTTTCAGTTTTTAAGTTGAACTCTGCCAGCCATCTTCTTTCAATATATTTTGCTTTTACATGCTAACATACAAAAAATTAACAACTCTGGATAGTCTGGAGCCGCAAGTAGATCCTTTGGAACCTCCGGTATAAGATATGCATGTAAATAGGGTGATATGATCTAAAGTTTTGCAACAGAAATACACTTATGGGAACAGTAAGTTTTCTTTAGACCTTGTAATTAGGTTGAAAACAATGTTTTTTGTAACATGCCTTTTCTCAAATATCAACATCTAAAAGGGGAAAATTAATCAATTCTTTAAAAAAAGTTATATTAAAACAAACAAACAGAAATTCAAGGAAAATGAGTTGTAGGTGTTTTTATTTTTGTATTTATTAATAAAAACGTATAAAAGCCTCTTGACTTTTTCAGGAGCTCATATAACTTTGCAACTCTAAATTAGTCTAATTAAACCAGACTGAGGGTTACAATGTGTCTTTGGATTGTACCAAATAAATACAAGACCAAATAAAACAAGGACACTCATTGTGGATGAAAAAAAAATATGAAAATAGGAAAGGAACATAATCATTGTCAGAACATGAAAATCATATGTAAAAAGACTTTAAACAAAAGTGTCTTTAACTACAGCAGCATAATTTCATAGCTGATAGGTGAATGATAACAACAGATCAGATGGGAACAGGCAAGATCAGTGGTTAAAAGGAAGAACAGGTGTTGAAATAATATATCCTGTATGATTAACTAGAACTGGAGCTGTAGTTAATTATTTAACTTATTCAAAGTCGGAGGTGAAATCAATTTGGTGTTCTTAGTTGAATAACTATTAATCTAATCTACTCAGTTTTAGATGGAGTTTTTGTAACCATAAATTCCTGCTACAAATTATCCATTGTATTTCAGTCTGGGCTTCCTCTAGGCTCCACGACTTTACTCATCAACTCCAAAGAAACTCAAATGAAAAGCATCTCCACATGATTTAAAGTGGGGTTTTATGTCCAGATTGATGTGATGTGTTGGTCTGTTGCCACACATAACAATTTAAATTTAGTGTGAAGCCAAAAGAGTCTCAGTATAATAGCATTTTGTTTCTTTGAGTAATGCTCTGATGTTTGAGGCTATGAGTTTAGATTTCCAAGGCCTGGTAGCTTTTTGTTGCACCATACTTTTTTTATCTGGATGCTAGACTGAATGGCGAATCTGTTAAAAAAATATAAAAAATATTTATTTATAACCTAAATGTGTCTTATACTTCTCCACGCCTTTATTCCCTACAATTTTGCCTGTGCTTCTTGTCCATGTAACTTTTAATTACAGAAAATCTGTATTTACACTGAAATTAAATTATGCATATGAGGTTTTAAAACAATTAGCTGCACTGGTTCTGGGACATCAGAGCAGGGTGAATAAATATGTAGACCCCTCTTTTCAGATTTCTATCTGTGAAGTCACTTGAAAATTATAATTTTTCATTCAAAGTGCAATTATGCACTACTGTGTACTCTTGAATATACCAAAATGTGAAAAGGTAAAATGGATTTCAGTACCTTCTGTACTGTGATGCTGAGAACGAGGGCAAGGGCTCAGTCTGAAACAAATACTGAAAGGTAAGGTGTGATAAAAAAAAAAAGGATGAATTACAGCAAGACAGACTATATAGGTCACTCAGGATGAGGTGTGGCAGATTTTGAAAAACCAGTGCATATCTGTATCTGTGGTGGTTGTGGAAAACAACCACTCTGTATCTCCATATTTCTCCATCTCCCTTGTTGTATAAGGGAGAACTAAAAGGGAAAACTTTCCACCATATCCATTTTTGGGTGGTTTATTGCATTTGGCACCACAACAACAGCAGGGCGTTCAAACCTGTGCCCACAGTTTGGAAAATAAAAAATAAAATTCCAACTCCCATCAGGGAATTTAAGGGAGCTACAAGGTAGTGATGCTCACACCTGTATTATAGCTGGAAGCCACTCTGCTCAACAATCTGCTAGAAATCAGTCTGCAGCTGTTTCCAGGGGTTGACATTTGTGTGTACGACTTATTCCTGTGTGTAGATGGATCCCAGGAAAGAGTTTGTACCTCCAGGGTTTCACAGATGATGTAATGATGGATATTTGGTGGCTTGCTAAAGTGAAGAAAAGACATCCCCCTGCCTGAATCTTTCTTATGCTCATGTTTTGCATGTCTTTCTCCTTCTCTCTCTTTCTGTTGCAAACCAAAACGCAGAACAAAAGGTAAAAGTTGGTTAACTCTTCTTAACTATTGTGGACATGATCTCAATGCAGTTTTATGCATGTGTTCTGTTTTACATCTTTTTGTGTTTGTTGTGTTTGTGGATGGATTTTGGAAAAGTCTGCAGTTCCCTGTCCAGTAATAGTAAGTTATTCTCAGAGGAAACCACACAATTATAGTCTTATAGCTCTATTTGGCTGCAGAACTTTCCTTTTTTATAAATATAACTTGTTTTATTAGTAGCCATTAAGATATGAAGATCAACATGACTTTTAATACAGCTGCTTTCCTTTGAGGGTAGCATTCCAAACCACTTGAAATGTTAACCGAGGATCTCTGGAGAGGCTTGAGCTAATTTCTGTGTGTCTTTTGGGTTCCAGGGTGTAGCCTGCACCGCCATGCTGGTGGCCATCGTTACTGAGAAACTTGCCCTAAACAAAGGAGAGAAGCATGTCCACTTCTTCATGATGGACATCCAGATATCTAAAAGGGTGAGATTTGAATACAGCAGATGTGTGCAAAAGGTGAAACACTGGCTGTATGAGAGAATAGAACATGCAGCTTGAGATCACTGGCCTCTGAGCACAAATAGGGAGTGAAAGGGTTGGTATGTGTGTGTCTCTGGGGGGGTTTTCTCTGTTTTAATCACTAAATCTTGAATTAAGGGCCAAAAGTCTCACATTTTAATTAAAACAATAATTTTTTTTTTTATTTAACTTCTTATATCTAAACGTTTGCATAAAACTTTTTAGTGCCGAATGAATTTCATTGAATGTAACTTTATTAATTTTACAGGTTTTCAACTTTGTAAAATTAGTATTTTAGAAAAATTTAATTAAGATCAAAGACCTTAATAACTTAAAGGTTGCATTCAACTTCAAAGATGAACCATTTGATCTCATGGAAAAGCATCTTCAGTGTGAACCTTTGAAGTTCATACTATTGGTGTTCATCTCGCTAATATTTGCCAGAAATACGTATGTTTCTGTCTTTGTAGTTGGTTGATTTTGACTTTGACTTTGTAGTTTTGTTGATTTTGATGTATTGCCATATTTATCCCCCATCCCCTTTAAAACTATGAAAAAATGTAAAACTCCCGAAATTCTATTCCAACATTTGATTTTGATGTGGCTCCAAGTCTGACCATCCCTTTGAAAAGTTTCTGGAGGCAATCCTGGTAAAGATCTGTTAAAAACAGACTCTGGAAGCTATAATAAGTGGCTGCCTATGGGAGCTGTACAGGGTTTGAAAGTAAGAGACTTATTAGTGAGATAATATATCAAAATGAACATTATGTCTCTGAAGCTGCTGCCTCATGGGAACAGTGTGTTTTTATGCTACTGAAAATTAAGAAAACCTTGTCCTGAACTGTTCTTTTTTTTTTTTTTTTTTTTTTACAAGGCAATGTTTTTAATAAGGGAGGAGTGATTTCATTTGATAAGAATTCATTTATTTGCAAATAACTATACAAAAGACCTCTAGTCACCCTTATTCTACCAAACTGCATTAAACTGCAGCAACGTGCAAAGTTTAACGGTTTTTACAAGAAGCGCTGTCTTTTTAAAAGCTTAGCAGAAATTTGAAGGTCATTAAATACTAAATCTCCCTCATTTTTATACAGATCTACTCATGTTAAAGGAGACATTTTATGGTTTTGGGATCTGTGTGTCAAAATGTTGATTCTGTTTCTGCTTCTTTTCTCTTCCCTAAATAAATGTCACACGTTAGAACAGGATAGTATGTGTGTGGGTGTGTGTGTGTGTTCTTTAGAGCTCTTTCAAGGCATTGGGGTTAGGAAGCTTAGGAAATAATCTTATCTCTGACAGGAAAGAAGCTTCTGTCAGTTAAGGTCAGAGCAGGACAGGAAACAGTTTGAGCTTACATTGATGCTTTTGATGAAACTTCCCTGCAAAGAATTCAAAGATGTTTAACTCTTAGATTTTTAGTTATTGATTTAAAAGAAATTGAGAGTTTTCATTTAAAGGGACCGACATTCTTATTTGCGTTGCAGAAAGGCACATGTGTGACATTATAAAACAACATGAGCTTAGGTTTTTGTGAGGAGAGCTACAGCCTCTCACCACATGCAGTAGCAGCACTGTTTGGAGAATGCAACCATTTCCTCTCCTCTGGTGGCTGCATCCTGTCTCTAGGTGCGTGTTCATGCATCCTTCAGAGCAATCACTGATGGGAACAAGGGAAGACATCTGGATGCCGACACTGACAGGGTCCACTAATAACTACAGCAACAGGGAAGAAGTGACATCACAACAGGGCAATAGTAGAGATTTGTACGGGAAAGCAAAGTGGATGTAAATAGAATCAGAGGGAAGACTGTGGCAGGACCTGACGCTGCGCTGTTTGGTCTTGTGAGATAAGAAACTTTTTGCTATTTGCCTGAGATCTGCATCAAAGGAAGAAAGCATGAAACAGGAAAGACTATACGGATTTTATTAGCTACTTCAGATGATGTCCTTTCTAAAAGATATGAAAAAGCTGTAGAGGATATTGGGCAATTTACTGCAATGTAAAAGTCATAATACAACAGCAACATTTACTATATGTTATAGACGTTTTGTTTTATAGACTGTAACAGAGTCAAAATCCTTAATTAATTTTTCTTTTTTTTTTTTCTTTTTTTTTTTACCAAGTTTACAATTTCTACATAAAATAAAATGCAGAGAAAACACATGCAATTAAAGTCAACTTACCCACAAACCTATGTGCATTCTATTTTCAGAGGCGTTTTAGATAATATATGTGGACGTACAGCCTCATGGAGGCCAAGGAACACCACAGACAAGTCAGAGATAAGGTGTTGAGTGTACGTTTTAAGTATGCTTAGGTTACGAGTATGCCACAACCACAAACCCTTCAAGGCACGTATGCACTACTCTGCTGCAAGTAAAGCATTGATCTAAGAAGCATGTGGTGAGCTGCAAAGATCCACAGCTCACCTGTCAGAATATGTTCACATTAATTCAAGTCTGGCCTCTGAAGCAAAAAAGTGACCAGATTCTTGGAAATGTTTGAAAGAACTGCAATAAGTCATGCAGGCCTGAAGGACACAATGGCCTCCATTAAAATGATGTGGTGGAAGCTTCCTGGTGTACAGACTCTACTAAATAGATTACAATATTTTAGATTAGTGGTGTCAAATTTCAGTGCTCAGGGACTGGTGTGCTACAACTTCTGGATGTGTCCGTGTTTTAAGAAAGCTTAATAAAACTTCTGACTTCTCTTCCTAAATATATATTTATTTGATTATGGTGTGTAAAAATACAGACAGCGTGAAGCTTCAGAACAATGGCCCTGAGGACTGGAGAATTGATGATGGACTTATCAGTGAATTAAAATGGGTTAGACATAAACCTAGTTGATTTTTCCAGACCTGAATCTCAGCATAAATTGGCATTCTTTGCCAAGTGTAACTAGTATTGAGCTATTGGGGGAAAAAAAAAAGTAAAGGTTCATATTAATTTTATTACATCCCTTTGGTTGCTACCTCTGGGATTTTTTTTTTACTAGCAACAACAACATAACACCAACAGACACAATCATTCATAAAGCACCCTGAATAAACTCAATAAAGCCCTAAGCCTAAACAAGACCAAGTCAAAATAAAATGAAGGGACAAACTTAAAAAAAAAAAAAATCTTTTAAAAACTGTTCAAATAAGTTACAATAGGGCATCAACAGTATTGATGTAGTAAAATTACTTTCTTGTGAGTGTAATGATAATATTTAAATCTTTTTTTTTTCCATTTTCTATTTTCTTTCTATATTGGCAGGTAAGTAAGACTTTTTTCAATTGAATAAGATAATTTATATTTAAATAAGAAAAGCAAATCTATCATCTTGTCTTAAGTGCATGCATAATATCTAGTTATCTTATATCTATGACTGAAAACTCTCATTCCATCGGCATATCATCTTATTTACCTACTCAAATTACGGGTAAATCCACTCTTTGTTCTTATTTTTAATCAGTTTAATAGTGCGCATATGCACAACTCACTGTTAATTGTGCTTGTTAAAAAAAAGAACATCCTGTAAAAATTTTTTTGTATTTACTATTCACAGTTATCCATTAATCTGTGTTGTCACCAAAAAAAATCCCAATATCAAGGTTTGCGTTTGTTACGTGACAAATGTGGAACAGTTCAGGGTGTTAAAAATCCTAAGGCAATGCACTTTACCGGTTAATGATTGACAGACTTTATCTTAATAATCTTATCATTGTTTGTCTGCTTGGTTATTCAGATCCGGCATGCTGCTGCTAATGTTCTGAGAGAATGCTGGCTGCTGCATCGTGCAAACCTGCCAAAGGGCAGCCGGAACGAGCACCGAAGACACCTGCGATGTCTTCTGGAAGCCATCAGAGTGTGAGTGGTGGCCGTGTGCTTAAATCTGCCCAGGAGCTATAAAAGGGTGGCGTTTGTATGCCTTGCAATGTGTATTTTATGGATCATTAACTTATTGTCAACACACTGAGTCTGGTTTAGATTAATTATCAGATTAAATCCATCCCCAAAAATTCACTTATCTAAAAATTAAACACAAGTCTCTAGAAGGATATGACTTCATATTGTTTTTTCATTCTTTATAAACATGGAAGCTCCAAACACCAAGAACAAGTGGATTACACAAGCCAGGAGATTCAGAAGTGATTAAGAGCTCCACTTTTCTGTCAACAGGAATACACGTGTGAGGGCACTCTGCGTTAGCATAGGGCCTGTGTTTCCTGTTTCAAACTGGGCTGAACTATTACAAATAAACACCCTGTGGAAAGAATGAGAGCGGGAGGAACCTCCACACCTCTGGAGTTACTGTCTACCGTAATGAGACTCCATCACCTCATTATGCTCTGGGCCGCCAAGCACCGATCGCACTATTGGTTTCCATAAATCTGCTCTCTTTGTACTTCTGCTTTCGTCCATCTGTGGAGCTAAATTTATCCGTTTTCCGCCTCTGGCAATGTTTTACAGCTGTTTAACAAACTCAGCATGACCCTCTCCGTGCTGATTAGTGGAATACTCGTCAGCATATTCTTTTCCTAAATCGGACCATCTTGTGCCAGGAATGGTGTATTTGTCCAAAATTAGGACGCTCTGTCTTTAGATGAGCGATCCACATCCCTACATGGAGCTTTTAAACCAAAAACACCATATAACTGGCTTAAAATAAATCCAAAGGAAGGGCTTTCCTGAAAACAAATGACTGATTTGATCCACTTCTGTCTCTTTTTTTATACTTTGAATCATATAATACAAAGTTTTTTTTGTGTGTTTGAAATATTACCACATGGATTTGATTTAAAAAAGACTTTTTTTTCTATTTCAGATTTCGACATTTACGCCTTAAACAAAGAAAACTGAGAGATTATGTCAGTGAGATGGTGGACCTCCCAAAGGTAAATGCCAGCTGGAACATTTAGTTACTGTTTCACATCAAAGTAAAATAAACCACACATTTCTCTTGTGTTCTTTATTTCTGATCATTGTCCAAATCATTTTTGAGCCAAGGATATTAAAAGTAACCACTGTAAAGATAGTACAGTCCTCTTGATCAAGTTACATGGAAAATAAACCGAGAGTTAAACATTGAGGCAAGCATTGAGGCTAAATTATAATTCAGTATAAAGCTGGATGTTTTTGCTCTATGGAAAATATTCAAGGAAATCAGTAAACAAATAAAAGCTGTTTAACAGTATAGGTTATGGGTGCACAACTAAAGCCATTTAAAAGGGAACAAAAATAAAACAGACAGAAAAGCAGACTACAAACACAGATAATGGCTTTGTTTATTAGTGGTTGAAAATACAGCTTTCAGTAAACTAAATGTTTATTGAAAGCTTCTTTCAATATATATATATTTTTTAAATCCATTAGCTTAAATGCATACTACAATATACTGCAAGTATTTATGCAGGTTTTTTTTAGATCTTCCCTAAATGTTCAATCTAATTAAAAATGTGGATTCTGGTTCAAACTCATGAATATTCAAAGAGTTGTCCTGAAGTTATTCCTTTGACATATCTGACAGAAGAAACAATTTGCCCAAATCTGAGGTCAGCAGCCTTTTGGAGCTGGGTTTCATCCATGTTTCTGTATTCTGATGCGATCATCTTCCATTCTCAGCTAGTCTTTCAAATTTGGCCCTAGAAACGATCCTCATTGCATGATGCCTCCACCACTCTGCTTTTCTGTAGGGATGGTATTGGCCAACTGATAATCTGTGTCTGGTTTAATCCATAAAAAATGTCTGAAATACATGGCAAATTAACCTTTACCTCATCAGACTAAAGGATCATATCTTTGATGGTCTGAGAGTCCTTCAGGTGCCTTTTGGCAAATTTCAGACAGACTGCCATGTGCCTTTTATTAAGGAATGGCTTCCATCTGGCCGCTCTACCATGCAAGCCTAATTGGTGGATTAGAGCAGCACTGGAGCACTACAGACTCAATAAAGCCTTTCTCCCTGGATCCCTTAAGTTTGACAGCAACCAAGGTCCAGGGGAGTCCCTTAGTTCTGAACTTCTTCTGTGCCACTGCGCTCAAAGTAACCTTTAAAGCTGGAGAAATGTGTCTGTTCCCCTCTGCAGATTATTGACTTGACAATACAGACAGTTCCTTTGAGTTTATGCTGGGTTTGTCCACTGACACAGACTGTCAATTGCGAGAGCTTGCATAAGCAGGTGTGTTTTTTAGGGGGAAATCTTGTACAACGGGTGTCTTTAATCCTTTTACTCAGAACCACACCATCCTGTATGTTTCAAATGTCTTTTTTTCCCAGCATACCTAAATCAAATGATTGTGTTCCACCTTCAGCAGCAGCAGAGGCCTGATAATCACCCACATATTTAATTATGGATGCAAGAGAATGTCTAAAACAGACTAGGTGTTTCCTGAGGATCAGGATTAAAGTCTACAAATTGATGCCAATTGATGATAATTGATGACAATTGACGATCATGTGAAACAGGATGCACCTCAGCTCAGTTTTCTTTTTTTTTTTTATTATTTTCATTCTTCTATGAGAAAATCACATATTCATTATGTGGTGTTAGTTTGAGTTTTGAAAAAAAAAAAAAGAATTAAATACATAATGGAACAAGAATGTCCTATAGTCTTACCTCAAAGCACTGTTATTATGAAATTGCTCACAAATAAAAAAAAACATTAACGTCTATATTTGTGTTGTACATCTGATTTTATCAGATGCAGATGATCATGTGTGACCTCAGCGCCAACTGGAACAACTCTTACAGAGAACTGGAGCAGAGGATCCTCTTCATGGAGCAGAAGCTGGACCACCTGACTCGCTGCTTCCAGCAGACATCGGAGCTGCTGTCTGAGGTCCTACGTCACAGAAACCCAGAGATCAGGTAAACGGTATTTACAGTTGCTGGCGATGAGGCTGCTGTTGCACAGAACTGCTGATAACACATGGCAGGATGTGGTAGCTGAGCTGAACTGGAACACCCCAGCTTTGGAAGATAGAAGAAGTTTGTTTTGTTTTTCATTCCATTTCCTTTCCTTCTGCAGGTGACATGGCTGCAAATGCTTTTTTCACAAAGTGTCTGTAACATTTCCTTCTGCTGCAAGGATCAGGGGCAGCCAGGGCAGCTGCAGAACTGTTACAAAGCAGAGGAAACATCTCATCCAGTTCAGTGCTGCATGCGTTGCTCAGTGACTAAAGCAGAAGAATTACAGAGGAATTTTTCTGCTGTAGAATTATCTGAATAAAATATTGGGAAGTCTGCTACAATGTGTGGCAAAAATATTTGTTATTGTGCTTAGAAAACTTATTGAAAAGAACTGAGATTAGATAATCTAAATGATTTTTGTATGAATAATTATCACCTTATTCCTGTGGAATTAAAGGTTTTATATTTGTATTTTATTTTTGAGGTCATTTTCATATATTCTTTTTATATTTTAGAAAAAAACCTCATACCTTTTTCTGTATTTTCAAGTTGTTTAATTCTTATACCAATGATGTCTATTTCCAAAAACTTAGATTTGGACATTTTATCAAGTGTTATGGTGTTATTTACATGGCTCTATTTACATTTGTTCTGGTCATCTTGTGCTAATGTATTTAAAAATGTTCTGCAGGACAAAAAATCGATTAGTCCCCAAGAAGTGGGAGTAGATTTTTAGTGTTCAATAAATATCAGAACGATCATGCAGATAACTCTAAATATAACACAGCAGCTGTCTGATTAAACATGTAGGGCTTTTCCTGTTTTGTTTAAGAAAGCCAATGGTTCCACCTAGTGGTCAAGTGTTGATTAAACAAGATTTTTTGTTACCTTTGCAGTACAGAATGTACTCACAGGTTAGTAATTTCTCTCACCTTTAATCTCACCTAAGAACTTTAACTAATGGATATCAACACAAAGATTTCATCCAAAAATTTACAACAGATTTTATGAGATGTTTTTTTTTGTTTGTTTTTATGAATTTTCAAATGACACAGGTGGTAACATTTCAACAGTAAATGCTATTTCACTACTTTTTTGGTATCTAGATAACATCACATCAGTTTTGTCTCAAAAACTGCGAAATGTCACTGATTAATCATGCATTAAATATACTGTTGATTTTCCAGACACTGCTCAAAGTAACAGATCAGAGATGGTTATATTTGTCACAAAGCTTTAGTTAATTTCCTACTTAACAACATTCACTGGGTTCCATTAATGTAATTGCATCTAGGCAAACAAATATCTTAAAACAAAAAATTTGCATATGCTTTTCTTGACAACTGTGCAAAAAAGATACACTAGACTTTTGATTTAAATGCATTGATTTAAATCTTTGCTGCTCATGTTGACTTTTATTTTTTATTTTTTTTAGTGTGTGGAACCTAATGTTACTTAGTTTACTTTAAATAATCTTGTGTGAAGAAAACAAAACATCCAAAACTGGACAGATGCCAAAAACAAAGTTAAGTTAGAATAAATATATTTTTACTTTTGCTGTGGTCTTCTATGTCATCCATGCATGTTTTAGGCAGACCAGGTGATTACGTCAAACACTTGCAGTGAAAAACATTTTTTTCCAATGATTTTTGTTTTATATTACTGAATATTGAACTGAAATGTAGGTGTTCTTTTTTTAAATGAACACCTACATTTGCTCATTTGTTTTTTAAACAAATGAGCAGAAGTTTAAATGTGCTGTGCCTTTTTTTTTATGTCTAATTTAATAAAAACTGATTTTAAGAAATTATGCATTTTGTTATATTTTTAGCCAAAGCACCATATTAACCTTCTACTCTAAGAGACATTCTTTCTAGTATTCACTTCAATGGCGTTGCCTCTAGAGCCTCACCAACAACTACTGATTAATTTGTGATCTATGGACAAAATTTTCCAATTAATTAATGTTTTTTTAAAAACATGGGAATATAATTTATTCATATATTTAGAATTACAAAAACATTTAACTTCTGCATTGCACTAAATAACTGATACCTGTTTTACAATTCTAAGATGAATAGCATGTATTGTGTGTCACTGCTGACATGACTAGTTAATTTAATTTTGCAAATATAGCAAAAAAGAAACTAATATTCAAAACCAAAAGCTTTGAGGTGACTAGTATTTGCATGATTTAGCAGCTTTTCTTTAGATCTGATCTAGAAGTAATGAACACAATTAGGTTTGATTAAGGCTGGGTGAAAAAAATAGTTTCAGTATAAAATCTGGACAGAGGCAGCTAATGACACAAAACAACAGTCTGGAAACCTCAGGAAACAAATAACATTTATTTTCATTTTAAATTCTTCTCATAACTCTTGGGTCAATCTCTATTTTTTACTGGGGATCTGCTGCTGTTTTTTGGTAAAAAACAAACATGTAACTTAACATACCAGTATTGATGTCAGCTGTGTGTTTGTCTATGTGTAACATCTCATCACCAAAGAACAAAGCTTTATAACCAAGCATCACAGTACTTGGTAAATAAAGCTTGTTTTTCTGGTTCTGATTTCAAACTTAAAAGGCGTGGCTCAACATGGAATAATTAATATACCATATCCACCTTTTTCTGTTATGTGGAAATATTTCTGTTTATTATATTAATTAAAATGTTATATAAAGCCTAACAAATAAAAACACAAAAATTGCAGTTTTTTTAATGAAGCACTTTATTATAAAGGTGATGAAAACCTCAAACCCATGCAGAGCTGTGTTCCACAGAACAGGAGAAACCAAAACCAAATACGGACAAATTGTAACCCCTTTTGATCAATAGTGGTATTTTAAATAAAAAATAAAACAGAACTTATTTTTTATGGGATATCTCATTTCTTCAGTGGCTCTTTGTTTCAGCTCTGTTTCTTATTTGGTGCCATATGTAGGCCGAGGGCCTCAAAAACACCAGGCCGCAGATACACATAAAAGGCATCCTGCACTTTCTCTCCCTACTTTCTTTCACCCTCTCTCCACACTGAGACTGTTTCCACTGTTTGCCTGTTAGGTGCCGTGTTAAATGTTTTGCTCCGGAGAAAGTGTCCCCGCAGCCAACGCAGATGTAGCTCAAAGCCTCAGCGTGCTGAACGCAGTGCCGCAGGAGATGCAGCTGGTGCCTAAAAGCTCGACCGCACTGGCAGAGGTGTGAGCGCTGGCCTCGATGAAGGTAGCGGTGGCTGATGGCGAAGGAGGGCTGCCGGAAGATGGCGCCGCACTGCCTGCAGGGACAGGGGGTCTTGGAGCGCCATCCTGTGTTCATCCGCTTCATCAGATCCCACTGTCGGCTCTCATTCTCAAAAAGGGCTAGGATAGAGAGCGTTGTTGGAGCGTCTACGTTCGAGTCCTGAGTGTCTGGAGCTTCGTCGACACAGAGATTCCTGCTAACAGCTTCCTTCTGTGCATCTCCGGCTTCTGTCAATGACGATGAACATGCAACAAAGATGCGTTTGGTTTTGATAACAGAAGAGTGAACTTTGGTGAGATGGATTGACAAAGTTTTATCAGAGGAGAAAAAGGACTTGCATAAGTTGCACGCTTTGGGCATCGACTCAGAGCAGAAGAGCACCAAAGTGGATTTGGCTCCTCTACACGGGTGCTGGTTGAATGAGTTCTTGGTGGGAAGTACCTGCCCACAGCTGTGACATAAATACAGAGGCATGTGGTGTTCTCGGAGTGTCTCCTCACTAAAAAAGAAAAGCTTGCACAAAATGCACTGGAACTTTTCCTGCACCCCATGGCAGTAAAGCAAATGCCGCTTCACGGACCTGAAGGGTCCCCGGCCACACTTTTGGCAGGTTACTCCATTTTCAATGGGGGGAGGTAGAGCTGCTTCCTCCGAGTCAGAACTGTTGGAGGTTTCAGAGGAACTCTCATCAGATTCCTTTTCTATGTCAGAGTTCTCATCATTTTCACCTACGGTATATTCCACGCTGTATTCAGCCGTTTTGTGATTCATCTCCAAAGATGAGCGAGCACGACTTAGAATAGCGCCCTGTTGCTCCTTCCTTTCTCGTTCTTAGCTGGCAGCAAAAGACTGGCGGGACAACAAGCGGAGGGCTGAGTAGTCTGCATCATCCAGGTGAGTGGAGATAGACCTCCAGTGATGGTAACAATTCCTGAGGGTGGTGTGGAGGATTTGGATTCTGTGGTGGTAAAAACGTCAAATCAAGCTGCTGATTCACTCATCATGTAGATTTGATCCACAGCTGGAGTAGAAGCACGGAGCTGGTCATGCATTCGCCACTTTCCTGCCAATTTAACACAGAAGATCTAATTAGTTTTAGAAACAAAAACATATTTAAAACATACATATTGAATTCAAAACGTGAATGTTATAAATTAAAAGATAGGTTGATTAAACACATGTGATATATTTCCAATGTTCTTTTTTTCCTACTTTTTTTGGCTGATATCGGACCAATTTGTCGATTTTGGCCAAAAAAGTAAGATCAGATTATATCAGCCTTCATGTGAAACCTATATATATTAGCACACTGATAGAAACATTCTGCTTCTGTTTAAAAGTTTATATAACCCATTAGTTATTAATAAATCGGTCAGTTGATCTCAAACCTATTATTCTGTTGTTCTCTATTCTAGTAATATTACTTCATCAAGCCTTTTCTAATAGTTCACACTACAAGACATGTAATAAAAGTATATGTAATTTGCCTTATTGAGTCGTTAAGACAGTGGATACCAAGCTTTTGGACTGGTGCCAGCAAAACTATCTGATGCTTTAAATGCAGGGAGGTGCAGGACCACCTCATTGACCCTGTTGAGCATTCAGGGAACTGGTGATGAGAGAGGGATCTCTTAGGAGTTTGCTTCAACAACAAATGGAGCTGATTGTTACAGGATGCCTCAGAGGAGACTAAGGTCATCTGGGACTTTAAGGAATGTATATCTCTAGGACGTCTCCATCACATGCATGGAGCTTTTGGAGAACTGCAGAGCTGTTTCAATAACAGAATGCTGAACCATAGTTCAATCTGGAAAAACTCAAATGAAGAGAAAAGACAATTAGGAGAAATGTATGGATACAATTACTTTGTCTTTGGCGCTCAGACCTCGGCAGGAAACATAGCGCTTAATTTTGATAGATATGCGTGAATAGGAGTAAAGAATAGGGCTGTTCCCCTCCCAGGCCTGAAACTGGTAGTGGAGTGGAGTGGAGATAGACGAAGTTGGTCAGTCTGTAGACTGCTGGTTAGTGAGACGGTATGCTGAGCTTTATGGGGAGATCCACTGGACTGCGTGAGCTGATACTAGCGCTTTACTCAGGGACCAGGAACTGGAAGTCCAGTTTGGATAACACAGGTTGAGAGAACCTGTCCATGATGAGCAAGCATGAAGCAACAGTGGAGAGGAAAAACTCCCTGTTGGGAAGAACCCCTGGCAGAACCAGACTCAACATGATGGTCTTCCTATTTAATTTGTTAGGTATAAATTATTTGTAAGTTTGTTTCCCTTTTCTTACAAACTCTCCTACTTAAGATAGGATTTTAATTATATTATTCTATAAAAATCAAGGGTGAAAGTCTGGTGTCCTCTATTAACATGTTTTTGAACTGTCACGCACGGTCTCCAATCTCCCAGTTTAGGCACAATAAAAGGCATTTATTTTATTTTCTATAAGATTCACATTACTTTTTTTTTTACTTAATTGTTTATTCACAATTATTCTGAGAAATTATAACCCTCCAAAAGAGAAAATAAGTTTGCCAACAATTTACATCTCCCCCTTAAGTGTAGCTAATTACTGGATGTAACGATAGAGTATTTCTAGCAACAATTAGGTTATACAGCAAAATACAACAATTTCCAGACGCCTACTCTCTACTTACCCCTATTTGACGGTTTTCTTGGTCAACGTTGTGCGCCGAAAATATAATTCCTCACGAGGTAGGTTTATATTATAACAATAGTTCACATTTCCACAAACACGTTTTTTTCATAAATCCGAAAATGTGATTTTAGTGATATTACAAGCAATAAACTTCACTGAAAAACGGAGAATAGATAAATACCATTCTAAAAAACAAACTCCTTTATTGGACTGGGGGAATTTACACGATGGCGTCCGAGAAACAAACCGGTTACACCCACATCCGGTTTGGACCGGAAGTAGAGTGGAGCAAACATTCGACATAATAATATTGATCTGATTTATAAACTCAGTTGATTTATTGGGAATTTCTTATAAAAAAATTTTCTCCGAAATAATTTACAATACTTTAAAAAGGCATTCGTTCTCCATTAAATGTATTTTTTGTCACAATGTGACCACGTGTTTCAGTGTATCTATATGGGTTTTATGCAAAAGAAAAACATAAATCAAGTCAGATAAGGACACGTCTCTACATTCAACAGAATAGTGTGGAAATTCCGCAGCAGATGACACTTGATTCATAAATGGTCACAAAATATGGTTTAGACGTCTAAAACCCAACAGACTAAAATTTGACTGAGTAATTTATATCGTTTTTATTCAAAGGATCTCTTAATTTGTTTACGTTTATTTTGTATTTATAAGCATTTGTGCTTAAAACAATGAACACTAGCAAAGAAAAAGAAAGAAAGAGATCAATATATGATGCGATTCCGACTGAGCGGAACTAAACATAAAGGAACAAGTTTTCGATACAACCTTATTTGCTGGACGGCAAATATCTTGTTAGTTAAGGTGCATAGCGTTGTGCACGCGAGCGGAGACCCTAACCCAGTAAGTGGTTAATATATACTACCGCCCCTTCGTAATACTACGGTAAGCTCTGAGTAGCAAAACGAGCACACTACCCGGAAGTATTTGTTATATTTATTTACAAGAGAGTGAGTCACATCGACACTTACCAAAACCTAATTAGTAGTTGTTTTAACGTCTATCCCACCATTAGGTGTTGCAAGTTTCACAGTTTTGAACATGTCAGAGTCCGGGCACAGCCAGCCCGGGATGTACGGGCAGGGTAGGAGGAGGAGGCGACGCCGGGGCGAGAGAGATATTGGACCCCCTGGACAAAATCTGTCTGGGCCCAGCCGTGACCGAGAATACCAACCGAGAGAACGAAGGGTAAGATAAATACACACCTCCAAAAACCAGGTATATGTTTATATGATTAATAGTTACAATTAGTGATGCTGAGATGAGGCCTCATGAGGCATTGAACCGTTTGGCCAAATTGCACAGTTCATGAGGCTCCATGTGAACATGTCACCACCTACTGGTGGAGGGCAGAACTAGAATTTGTAATAAAATCAGATTTGTTTGCGGTTGTTTTTCTTTTTTACCCCCTTTTAAGCTCCTTTGAAATTGTTAATGGTTGGTGTGTATAATAAAATCTTTTGTAAGTGTAAAATTTCTTAGAAAAATCATTTAAAGTGCACAGTTGTTCTGCCATTTTAGTGAAATAAACTCAAACAGACAGTGAAAGTGTCTGTGCAAATTGGCCAATAATGAGAAAAATGAAAGGTGTTAGTCATTTTTATTTAAACATAATAGTTTTTTCCCCACATTTTTTGGTTTTAATCAGGTTGGCAGTTGTGTTAAACCAATCTGTTGGCTAAACCAATGTAATTTGTCAGCGTTTCTACCCAATCTGTATTTTTATTAGGGCAAGCCAATGCAAATTTGTCTAATTAGCCAAAATAATTAAGTATAACCGCAACTTTCAAAAGTCAAAGAAAGGTCTTGAACCATCAACCTCTGGAGAGGGAATCTGGGTCTTACAGACACTTATGTGGATGACTGTTCAATGGAGAAAATATTACTTAACACTAACATGTTAACACTGTGTCCAGTGGCTTGCTCAGATTTTGATCATTACATTGTTTATTCTAACCAAAATAGTTTTGTGCAACTACCGTATATTGGTTGGAAAAAACATCCAATCTATTCTTAGAATCTATCCCGTAGCGGTCACGTAATATCACGGCCTCCGACGTCATCAATTTTGGCCCCTCCTCTAAATGAATCACGCCTCGACACACATTTCGGGGAAACGCCCCCTCCATTACTCGACACGTCTCGAAGCCTCGGCTCATCTCATAACATCACTAGTTACAATGTATTTATTGCTGTTGTTTGATTTTTAGGATGGGAGTGAGGATCCACCAGGACCCCTCATCCAAAAAACACCCATCATTCTTGCAAAGCCTCCAGGTGAAAGGGTGGGTCATTTTAGTTTTACTAAGCTGCTTTTAAAGAGTAAGTGGCTTCAGTGCTTTTGAATTCATAAAGTAATGTTATATGATATAATTAGTCTCATTACTCAGACATCGCAGGGTAATCTATAAGTTGTTCTTGCTTTTATACCAGGCGATCAGCTTTTATAAGTTGTGTGGTTTTGGATCTTTTTCTTAGGCCAAACCTTCACAGAATGCACCCGTCAGCGGAGCTCCAGTTCTGGACAAGCCAATCATGCTAATGAAAGCCAGGGATGATGGAGGGAAGCCAGGGACACCTCCAGATACAGCAGCTCAGTCCTCTGGTCCCGGACCCTCCAAGATGGAGAGGGAAGGGCAGAGACCCACACAACCTGTCTACCAGATTCAGAACCGAGGAATGGGGGCTTCTGCATCAGGCAATGCTGTGGACCGTGAGTCATTAAAACTTCAAAACCTGCTCTCTTTTGCAGGGATGTTAAATATTTCTAGATTTTTCCACCATCTTGTCAAATGCATTAATACTACACTTTCTGCTGCAAACAAAAACGGAAACAAAATGCAAACAATTTATCTCTCAAGTGGAAGTGAGGAAAATGAAATGTAGGGTGTAAAACTAACGTGAATATTTGATCTATACATTTGTAAATACGTAAAGATGCTACTTTACTTTAAACCTCTCAACTATTACTTGTTTTAATCACATTTGTTTTTTAATAACTTCTTGAAATCGGAGTCCAACAGCTACTAGCACCTGTAAGCAGGTAATCCAACACAGAACATTCATTGCTCAGCATTACTTGGTTTGTCTCCAGAAGGTGCTCATCCACCCTAACAGAAAAAGCTTTTTCTTAAATTAAGATCTTTCATCATCATTCATGTTATTTCTATCAACATGGAAACTAGATTCTGCTTACTTACTGTTATGTTTGGGATTGTTGTAGGGCTGAAACAATTAATCAGATTAATCATGAATAATTGATTATTGAAATAATCGTCAACTAATCTAGTAATCGATTAATCGTTAAATGGAGTAAAGCGCCTCTAAAATGTGCTTTTAGCTAAAAGAGCAACCATGCTTGAGCAGCAATTATATTAAAGTTGTAAAAAAAAAGTTTACATTTTGCATTTAAGATAAAAAAAAACAAAAAAAAAACGTTTTCGTCCATCAATATGCTGTATTATAAGTTTTAGTTTAATTTTGCAAAAAAAAAATCATCTTGAAGGAATGTTTGGCTATCCGATTATTAATCGATTAATTGAAAAACAATCGAAAGATAAATCAATTTGCAAAAATAATCTTTAGTTGCAGCCATAGATTGTTGTTTTGTTAAAAATACACCAACTGAGAATAGTTCTTATTTGGCATCATAACCTCTTAAAGTATATTGATGTATTCAAAAGGATCCGCTGTACTTTGCATGTAATAAACAGGCTGGCCATCATATTTGGGCTGAAACAATTAATTGTAAGTATCATGGTTAATTAATTAAAAGGTAATTTATTTAATTAATAAATAATCATTTATTTGAAGTATGTCAACTGTAAAACATACTATTTACTAAAAGAACATCCTCAGAGCTAAAATTTTGAATTCGAGTTTTAAAAAAAACCTCCTTCCTCCATAAACACGCTTGCACTTCTGACTATTAAATTGAGTTAACTTTCAATTTAAAGCCATTTATATTGCATTTAAAACATGTATTAATGTATTTTGATTGAGGCATATTTGATTGCTAGAATAGCCAATAGCTGCAGCCCTACATCATAGCATGAGAAACATCCTAACAGGCATGATACTTGACTTAAACTCACCTAGATTCACAGTGAATAGTGGATTCTATTTAGTGTTTGAGGCCAGTTTAAAAAAGTACTGTGTCTTTGCCAGTGTAAGTTTTCATTTTTAAGACGTTTAGGAAAACTATGTTTCGCAGGTTTTCAGAGAGAAATGTACCAGAAACAAATCTGAACCCTTCAGTCTCACTGATTGAAATCTAATATGTTTTTATACTCAGATCTTTGAATGAATGAATCATACCTAATCAGCATTATGGATCTGTTCATTCCCTATTACTCTACTACACTTGTCAATTATTTGGCATATAAATGTATAATTTGATTCAATAAAGGACTTTTATTACTTTGAACAAAAAAAATTTGTGTGAAAGAAAGGAACATTTATTGTTTTACTTGTGACTTCCAGCCATGGTCGGTCAGTCCAAACTCCTCCATCCAGAAAAGATGAAGCACAGCATTAAGCTGGTTGATGACCAGATGAACTGGTGTGACAGTGCCATGGAGGTGAGTGGCTGTTTTTTACTGAGTTGAACATCAAAATGAAGCGCTTTGATGAAAAGGTGGAGTCCTGTATTTATAAGGAATCTTGGGACTAAAAGGAGCTCTCAATGGCAGCATTTTAAAACTTTCAATTTCTGGAATTCTATGATCTAATACTGGGGTGCTTTGTGAAAAATACTTTAATCCAGGATTATGTATTTTTTACAAAGCACCCTAGGTCTTCTAGTTAGTAGCAGTGAGCAGAACTTTAAGCAAGGCTAAGATTGTCTTAACCAGGAAAGATCGCAGCAGCATAGAGAGCAGTTAGGCCAGTCCACTACTAAATATTGAAATTAACAGGAACATACTTCTTTTAGCAATAACGCAGTTATTATGGGGTGAAGATTAACTCTGTTATCCCTAATAGAGGAAGACTAATCTCAGTAGCTGATAGCTAGTTACATAATTTTGATGAGATAAAATTATTAATGTTAAAACTATTGAAAAGTCATGAATAAAATGTAAAAAAGGAGGAATTTCAATAGTATTGACTGTAAAATTCAATAATAAGCATTTTAAAAGAACTGTGAAGAGTCACAGAAAACAAATATGTATACAAGCTAAAGTACATTGATTTACAATCTAACCTATTTATAAGGAATATGTAAAAGAGTTAAAAATTTGCTGTATTATATATGATGGTTTCAGTATTTATAACCTAAAAAAGCTATCTGGAATGTAGTTTCTGTGTTGCCATATCTTTTCAGCCCTTTGATTGTTGCATGTAGCACTTATCACTTTCCAGGCAGGTATGTAAATGCAGAAATATGGATGCATTTGCTTGGAAACATCACCTCAAAGGCCCCCATGTTCTTCATGCGATGCTGGGAGCAAATGTTCCCCTTTAACATTCCTCTATTCTCTTTCAAGAGCTTTGCGGCTCCTCGTTCCTGTTCGTTTTTCTCAAGCCGCTTTTCTTCATTTTATTGTACCTGTTTTGTCAAGTACAACCTCTTAAGGCAGCCAGTCAATCCCAGTAAAATGCTGACAGATGAGTGCACATTGACAATGAATAGATGTGATGGTAAAGTGGCGGCTAATGTGATTAAACATATCAATAAGCAAATAAAAATGATGATAATAATGATTAGGATGTAAATAAGGATGGTTTTAACTTTTGATGCTGTTTGACAATACTTTGATTTTGCTGAAGTTTCATCATGATGTTAAAATTATCTTAAGGCATGTCTGAAAAATATACTGGGTTATTTTGTCTCTTTGATTACTAGAAACACTTTTGTGTGTGTCTGTGTTTTTTTTTTCTTTATGTTTTTCTATCAACCACTCACAACAAAAGGATCAACCACTCATCCTCACTAAGATCAACATTTTGTCTTCTCTCTGAGCTGATCTGAAGTGTCTGAATCACTCTTGGGCCTTATGTGTTTTAATATATTGTGTATATATTTATTTTAGGGCTGCAACTAACAATTAGTTTGCAAAGGTTTTTAAATCAACTTAGAAGGAGTTGTGTTTTTTGTGTTTTTTTTCGTGCTGCAGTATCTGAGGGACCAGACCGACATGTTGGTAGTGGGAGTCATTGGCCTGCAGGGAACTGGCAAATCTACCATTATGTCACTATTATCTGCAAACACACCTGAAGAAGATCAAAGGTAAGCTTGATGATGGCACCAAGAATATGATGGACATTTAATCTGCGTTCTATTTCTAACTCATTTCTTTATACACTGTAACGGTCATTTCAGAAGTCAGTAATTAGACGATCAAATACCAGGACTGTAAAAAGCTTCAGTTAAAAATGTATTTATTTAATGGACATAATTCTGGATTTTCATTAATAATTTTTTTTAAATTCACTGCATTTTGTTACCTTCCTAAAGAATCATAAATTGTTGTCAAAGAATAAGCAACTTGTACCTGTTTCCTACGTCTGGTATTCGATTTTATGTACGGTTGTTTAGATATCAACGTTTTTTTTAGTGTAGTCCACAGAAAAATAAGACAGTAACAGGTTTGTGGGGTGCGGTACTGCATGGTCCTTATGTGTTTTAATATATTGTGTATATATATATATTTTAGGGTTGCAACTAACAATTAGTTTGCAAATCGATTATCTGTCGATTATTTTTTTAGAGCCAAAGATTCCTTAAAGAAGATTTTTTTACGAAATTAAACCAAGTGAAACAGAAATGTTTCCACCTGATGATTTCTGAATGGAGCATACTGACAGACAAAAATGCTTTTTTATCTTAAATGCAGAATGTTTGTATATTATTTTACAATTTTGATTAAATTACTGCTCTAAGTAGGTCACTGTGTCAGGGAAAGGCATGTTTTACATTCTCCATACTGCAGTTAACGATTATCAATTCCTAAATTAGTTGACCATTAATTCAATAATCAATTAAACCGATTAGTTGTTTCATCCCTAATTAATTTGATTTATTTGGCCAGTGAAGCAGAATGTGATTCCTTTACGGCACAAAATGTTTTATAGTAATAAAATTGGTTTATATTTTAATCACCTAAAATAAACCTCACTGTTAGTGAAAAACTCTGTTGTTCTGTGCAGGAGTTACGTCTTCAGAGCCCAGAGTCAAGAGATAAAGGAGAGAGGAGGGAATCAGAGCTCAGGTATTGATTTCTTCATCACTCAGGAGAGAGTCATCTTTTTGGACACACAGGTAAGATGTTTGTTCAAACATGCTTTGGTCGATGCTTCAGAACATGCCGATGACGGATGTTTTTTGTTGTTGTTGTTTTCAGCCTATTCTCAGCCCCTTTATACTTGACCATGTTATCAACAATGATCGAAAGCTGCCTCCAGAGTACAACCTTCCTCACACATATGTGGAAATGCAGGTTTGTATCTGTCCCGTTGAGACCATTAGGTTAATTATATACCTAAGTCATAATCTTCATCTAAAAAAAGATTAGATTTGTTATTTTATATAAGTCATATTTTGACTCTTTTACTAAAATCTGCCCACAGTCTCTTCAGATCGCAGCCTTCCTGTTTACGGTATGCCACGTAGTTATTGTGGTACAAGACTGGTTTACTGACATAAACCTATACAGGTTAGCATTTCTTTGTGTTTTTTTTTTTTTTTATTGCTTTACCCAAAATCTAAAAGAAGATAATTTAGTGGTAATGTGGGTCTTAATACAACCTGAAGGCTCCATTTTTTTTAAAAAGAGCACTAAGTATTGTATTTTGCATCTTTTGAGGTTTTATTCCGTACATTAAACTATCAATGGTTGTTGGTTTATTGGTAGGTTTCTACAGACTGCTGAGATGCTCAAGCCTTCCACCCCATCTGCAAGCCATGACAGCTCTGGCTCCTCTGGCAGTGATGATGGAGCAGAGTACTATCCTCATATAGGTGGGGCTAATCGGCACAATCACACCGTCCCATACCAACCAGATTTATTCATATTATGGAAGTAAAAATTTCTCACCTTTATTTTTTTTTTTCTTATCTAGTTTTTCTCCAGAATAAGTCAAGAAGAGAGGATTTCTGTCCAAGAAATTTTAAGAACATGCACATGGTCGTGGACAAACTAATGGCACATTCTCATCTTAAATATAAAGGTGACAGACTCTTTAATTTATTTCCTAGAAATATCAGTTTCATGAATAAATAAAAAGAAACCAGTTTAAGCAATAAACTGAATACATTTATTAGTATATTATAGGATTGTGAAGCAGAATAATTTATTCGAACCCCTCCATCCGTTATCGTAACCCGTATTCCCTAAATGGCGTCGCAGAGGGGGGGACTGGAGCCTAAACCAGTAGTCAATGGGTGAGATGCGGGGTACACCCCAGACGGTCTGCCAGTCCATCACAGGTCCACACAGAGACGCACAAAGATGAACAACCAAACACACTCACTCCTAAGGGCCATCTGGAATGTCCAATCAACCTAACATGAAGGTTTTTGGAATGTGGGAGAAAACCCGAGAACCCAAATAGAACCCACGCAGACACACAGAGAATATTTACGTTTCCTAAAACTTTGTATTTATTTGTTTTTTCAGTAATTATTTTCACCATCTTTTTTATGATTAGAGAACTAATAACTTGTATATACTTTTGCAAATTTGCTTTCTGTTTTAAAGGAAAGGGATTAAATTTGTCCTGCGTTCTCACCAAACACACGCAACTGTGTTTATTGAAGTTAGACTCTCTGGAGGCTGAATGCTCAACGCTCCAATTGTTGAGCTGATCTAATCCTTCATCGCAATCTAGATTGTGTTTGGCTTTATTTGCTTTAGTGGAGGAGTTGGCAGCCTAGTGGTTAAGGCATAGAGCTTGGAATCCTGAGCTCCCCTCCTACAGACTGCCACTCTGGGTCTCTGAGCAAGACTTTTAACCCCACACTGCTCCCCGGGGACCCCACGATGGCAGCCCACTGCTCCTCAAGGGGATGGGATAAATGCAGATGTACATTTCTCCAATGTGAAATCAATAAAGTTCAATTATTATTACTACTTTTCTTATTGTGGTTTTGAAAATAAAAATACTTTAGGAATGTTTTTGTGCGAGAAATTCCAGCTGAAAAACATCATCTGGTGAGTGAGTTCATCAAGATTAGGATTCTAGTTAAATATTCTGGCCTCGTTCTGGGCAGCAGACACCCACACATCACTCAGAGTCCCCAGTGAAGGCGCTCCAAGGCTGGCTAGGTTGTCTGGGATTTCCTGTTGCTATCCATAGCCCCGGAAAATGAATGGAAAGCCTTATTTATTTATTTTTTAGATTTCTGGTAAAAATGGCAAGCAATTGAATATAAAATCCTATTTTTGGCTGGCAGCTTTATCATTTTAGTTAGTGTAAATATTTATAAACCGCTTCACCACAGTTCAGTAAGAAAATGTTTCAGTGGAGCAGAGGTGGGTAGTAACTAGTAACATTTACTCAGTTATTTTTACCTGTAATTTTTTGAAAAATGTACTTTCAGGAGTAGTTTTAAAATAGTTTTGGTTGTTCTTGAGTAAGAATATAATAAATTATCACTACTCTTTGTTAAGATTTCTGGCTGCTCCATGCATTGTGAGTAACTTCACGTAATAAAATCTATCTTGCTTTAAAGGAATATTCACTATTGAGCTTTATTGGTTTAAGTTATTTTCCATCTGCTAAGTCTGCCTTACTTTACTATACTTTTATTTGTTAATCTACATATTCTAACTATTGATTTAGTAAGTTTTACTCTCAAAAATGATTTTGAATAGTGTTCATCACACCTACAGTTTTTTCTATGTTATGTTTATTTTATATCTTATTCTTTGAAACACCAGAATTTGCATGCATAAGACTTCATATTTTGTTTAATTTTACATAATTTTGTTAAATCTTAAATCTGTTGTTTTGAATATGAGTAGTAAGTAGATCAGTTACTAAGTACTTGAGTAGCCTTTTTACTAATTCTTAGTACACTAATTTCTTTAAAGGCAATTTAAGTACAATTTTTGTGTGCTCTACCCACTTTTGCAGAAGAGTAATAAGGATCAGAGCTCAGTCTCTTTTCTTTGTACATAAAAATCATTTCTCCTCACTTTTTAAAACCTGTGGCTTTGATGTCTTGAAGCCACTTTAGTTGCATCAACCATTAAATTAGCATGTAAACTAGATTACCTAACACAAAAGACCCGCATTCGGTCTGAACGCAGTATAAGCTGAGGTATTGTATTGTAACGTGATGGTAAGCCACAGTTGCATGATTGTTTTTTAAAACTCAAATATAAAAGCAATGGCTTTATTACTCTGATAAATAATATTAATAATAAAAGGAACCTCAGTTATAAATATTCAGAAAGCTTAAAGTGCCCCAAGCACAGCCCAGTTGTCTTTTAGATACTTCAGCCATTTGATATTGAACTACTGGGAATACTTATGAAAGCATCTAACATTTAGCCCAAGATGTTCAGGTCTGTAAGGTTGGGTTAAAAAAATCATGACTGTAAATTGTACAATCCCCAATAAACACAAACTAATCATTAAACATGATGCCCATTTCCCAGGTACCCTATCCATGTTGGATTGCAACATCTTTCCAGGAATGGTGCAGGAATATTTGGATGCTGAGGTCAACATGTTTCTGCTTCCGGTTCAAGAAAATGATGGAGAGGATAACCTGAACAAAGCAGGTTAGTAAACTGTTTAAGTAACATTTTGTTCCTTTATTACACTGTTTTAACAATTATGAGGTAGATGCATATTCAACATCATACCGAAAGAAATCTAAATTAAAAGTAGGTTTATCTGTTGAATTTGATTAGTAACTTGGGAAAAGAACAGAAAGCAGTTTTAAAAGGTGTTCAAGACCTGTTTGCGATTTTGAATAATATTTAGGAATTACTTTTGCTACAGAGACCATTATAATTGGTATTTGAATAGCTTTTATTTATAACATAACAGGGGCTTGCTTCTGTATTTCGTTTAAAAAAAATAAATAAATTCAAAGGTAGTAACATAAAATGTCCTCTAAATCTAAAAAATAACGGTATAATGCCACGGTGATGGCATCCTCAGCCTATTTTTGCATGGTAGACATATTGATTAGGGTTAAATGACTGGAAGGCACTGATGCCAGAGAACTAACCTTAAACCAGGAAGAGAAGTGGATCATTTTCTCAGCCACTGATGGATCAGCATATGAGACTTATTCTGTATTTCCCCTGAAGTTGGAAATTTTCTGCAACTCTTACCACATCATTGACCTTTTTTTATAGTCAGATGGTCCTCTGCTTTTGTTTTGTAGCCCTCCGCTACCTTTTTCATTTCTATGCTTTAGTATTCGACAGTTCTTTGTCTGCTGCCCTGAAGGTAGTGTTGCCTCTTCCCAGCAGCTTATTAACTCTTTTTCTGCTCCTGAACCAGAACATTTGCTCCAGAAATGTTTGCCTTAAATCAGGAATAGGGACTTTTCTGTTAGCCTGACTTGCTTTGAGTTAAAAAAAAAAAAAAAACAGTCCAACATGTGCCCCTCTGTTTGCACAGCTTGTTTGCTGGAAGTAAACAGGATTTAAATGATTTCCTATGTTTCTTAGGGACAGGGACATACCCGCTCTTCTCTTTGCTGCCCGGTTACAGAGGTCATCCCACCTTCTCCACCATGGTCTCTAAGCTCCGCAGCCAAATCTTGGCCATGCCTCGCTGTCAGCTGTCTCACACAATTCTCACTGAGAAAAACTGGTAAATATCTCACACTGTATGTCATAATGGAGGAACAGCAATTACAGGTCAACCTTGTTTTCAAACGTACCAAGTGTTGCTTTAAAAGAGATGTATTAATTTATTTCTTCGTATGACTTAAATACTGCGTTTATTTATCTAGTTGTTGTATTTTGAGGTACACCGATTTTTTGAATCCACATTTATTTATTTCTGTATTTTTTTTATTCTGTCAGTTGGTTCTCAATATGCCAGTGTTGTATCTTGATTTTAAAATGTTACATATTTTTATTTATTAATTTTCTTTTATGCAAAAACAGAGAAATCAAAGACTGAAAAGATGAGCCCAAAATGTCCAATGTTTAATTTGTCCTAAAAAAGTTTCACTGTAGAGTAGAACAATCAAAATTTCTACAAGTCAGCATTGAGATATTAATTAGGAAATATTGGGTTTCTAGTGACTCACATTTTACTAGTTTTTGAATGACAACCACATTTAGTATCAGCATAAAGCTACAGATCTTCCAATCTCTTCACTTATAACATAATTCTCTCTCCCTTTGTTTATTTGTTTTTTATTTATCTATTTTTTCCAGGTTTCACTACGCTGCTCGTATCTGGGATGGAGTTAAAAAGTCTTCAGCTCTCTCTGAATATAGCCGCCTCCTCTGTTAGCACCATCTAAAATTACTGATGTACAGTGACATTTTATTTTGATTAAAAAAAAGTGACAAGAAAGCTGTTTCCTTTGAGACGCCTGCACTCAAATGATGAACAACGAAGTTTAAACCTTTGGACCAAGCACAGTGGTGAATATTTTAGAAATCTGTGCTTGTGTAAATTTATGCTACATATTCTCTGCTAAAATACAAATCTTTTTGTATGTTTTTTTTTGTTTGAGAAAAACAAATGATAAAAAAAAAATGAATAAATAAAACCGTTTCAAAATGTCTGACATCACAAAACAATGTTTGATATCTGTTCTTATGCCAACAGTACATCAGGCTTTTATGTTCATCTTCTCTTATAGGCATTAATGTGAATTTAATATGTGGCTTTTTAATGATTCATTTGCATTGTTTATCTGTTAAAATATAATAAGAAAGATTCTTTAAAATAAGATTTTTTTGCTTGTACTTAAGAATATAATAAATTATAACTACTCTTGGGTAACATTTCTGGCTGCTCCATGCATTGTGAGTAACTCCACATAATAAAATCTATCTCGAGGTAAAGAAATATTCACCATTGAGCTTTATTGTTTTTAATGTCATTTTCCATCTACTTAATCTGCCAGTATAAACACTATACCTTAATTTAACTTATTCTACATATTGTAACTATTGATTTTGTAAATTTTATAACAAAAAAAAATTGAAGTGTTCATTAAACCCAAACTTTTTTTTTTGTATGTTATGTTTGTTTTATATCTCATTCTTTGAAACACCAGAATTTGCGTGCATATAACTTTAATATTTTATTCAAATTTACATAATTTTGTTAAATCTTAAATCAGATGTTATGAGTATGAGTAGTAAGTGGATCATAATTAACAAAAAAAAAATGTAGGGATATATAAAAAGGAATGTTGTGAACTATTATGGCCGATTTAAAAATAATATTTTCCAAGACTTTGGCAGTTCTGTTTTAGATTAAGACAGCTCTGCAGTTGTCCTTATCATACAGATCATTTCCTTTTTGAAGGGGAATTGTGGAACATTTCCCCTTAGAAGGCACATAGCAAAATATACATTGGAAAGATTGCTCAAAGACAAATGGAGGACTGGAGATGCATATTTAATAAATTTGGCCTCAACGCCATCAGAACTAGCTGCCACAAAGCAGTTCATAGTATCATAGAACATGCTATGTTTAGGTGAAATGGGTAAAATGAAGAAGAGCTGACTGGAAGTGTTTCCAATTATCATTGGACCAGAAGTAAAGCTATTATTGATAAACCTTTTTGTAATGCATCAGATTTACCTATTAAATAATTACATCTTTCCAGGAATAATTAGGATTCTTGGAACCAGTTTATAAAATCCTAAATTTGGCATTTCTGGTGTGTTAAACATGTTTTTTTTTTTTTTAGCTGTTTCTATATTTCCCAATCATCAGGATCCTCTTTAGGGCGATATTTCCTTCTTTGATTATCTCACAGCAGTGACACAGCAGGTCTTTACCCATATGTTTTCTTGTTTTTTTTTTTTTTTTCACAATTTAAGTCTTCCAAAGATGCTTAGTTTTTCAAAAAATATTTTTAATTATGTCTGTATTACATGTGTATTTTGAGCCAAACTGTAATCATGATAGCTGCAAAAAATACAAAACAATTTAAAATGTCCCTCTACTTCACAATCAGTCACATGTTTATTTTAATTCCATGAATTTTCAAAAAAATAAAAATAAAAAATACACCAAAGTTTAAAAATATATAAAGTTTAAAGATCATATGATATACAGTGAGGAAACTGTAGATTTGGCAGTAAGACAGTCATGAAGCAAAAAAAAAAAAAAGGATTGCAGGAAAACCTCCTACAGTCTAAACCTTTTCATCTGAAAAAAATAATTTATTTGCTCTAGTTCTGTGTAGTTTTTCCTGCCCAAGCAAGGTAAATGTGTCTGAACAGGGTTTAGAACGCAAATAAAATGGTTACGAAAATGTCCTTTTAAATGAAAGGAATGTTAGGTATTTCATTTCCCTTTTTGAAAGGATATTTGTCTCCACTTTTTAATCTGGGCAATAAAAGCTTTATTGCAGTTGGTTTTAAAAACATAACAGGATGGAAAGGCCAGACAATGTTGAAATATTTTATAAATTCCTGTCTGACATTCAACATTTACGCATCTGCTCCTAAATGCCTAAACTGGTGAAAAATTATTTGATGTTTGCTTTTAAATTAAAGTTAATAATCTTAAGAGCTCCTTTGTGACACAACAAGCTTTTTCCAGAGCAATATTGACCAATTGCAGTTAGAAGGCAACCTTTTAAAATTAGTCTTTTTAAAATTATTATTAAGGAGAAAAATCCAAACACACATAAGTGTGAATGCCCCCATGTTTAAACAGTAATGTCATTTATCACACATAAATTCAATACAATTGATCACTGGCCCACCTGCTCTCTACCAAGAAATGACCCATCAAAAGATCTCCAGGCAAAGATCAAAAGAAATTCAAGAGCAAATGACAACGTAATTATTATTATTATTTTTTTTAACAGTGTCCTGTCTTGCAATGTTGCAATAATAGTAATTGTCTTTATGACAAAAAGAGCCCAAAAGATTTTACTTTCACAAGTGGATGACAACAATTGAGATGTACCAGCCGGGAGAGTGTTACTAAACCACTTTGAAAACCTTGGACAACCAACCAAAATGATCTGAAGAGCACAGCAATGACTCCTCCGTCAGTTCACCAAAAACCCCACAACAACATCCAGATAACGGCACGCCTCTATGCATCAGCTAAGATCAGTTATGTCAAACATTTGATAGTAGTGCTAGCTGCTAAGGGTGTCTGAAACCGTTCTTTGGCAAACATGTTCCTTCGAAATATATTTTATCTTTTAATGCATATATACATTTTCATATGTCTATGAAACCCAGGGTAATTAAAATGATAATAGTTCCAACTATGCCCACAGGAATCATTAAAGTTCTGGGAAACTTAATGGCCTAGTAAGTTTACCTACAAGTTACAAAGGGTGTTTGGTAAGATTTGACCATTTTACTGCATGTTACCATCTACATTTTTTAAGCTTTAATTCTACAAAAAAGACAGTATGGGGAGTTCTACGAGGTTTTGGTAAAGTTTATGTTATTTTAAGGTTTTCATACTTGGGGTTTTAGGTTGTTTAAAAAGAACTGTGTAGAACTTTCTCTGTAAATTTGGGAAACTTAAAAGGCATCTAATGCTTATAAGAAGAATAAATATCCATACAGACGTTGTATAAAAGCTAAAACAACAAAGTCATCAGACATTGTGCAAGAAGTATTAAAAAATGTATGTTGGCGAATCAGAAAGAAAAACTAAGAAAAATAAATATTACACAAAAAACATAAAAAAACAAGAGCAATACAAAGGCTACGTGGGGAATGATATACTATCAAAGCTAATGCATTAAAAATGCATATCCAAATTATTTTGTTATGGAAAATATATAGAAAAGTTTGAAAATAAAAAAAAATTACAAATAAATGTTTAAAATATTTTGCATGTAAGGTTTCGTCATAGCAGAAACCATTCCAAAGACTACACAAAACAAATAATTTTATAGCAAAAAATATAAACAGCATATTTTCTTTTTAATATCGAAAAACATGAAATAAGGAAAATTATACAAAACTGTGGAAAGAACAGATCTACTGAGGGGTTATACATAATCATACATGATAAACAATATTACAAAATCTTTCTTAATACAGTTCACTGATATTTGAAATTTGTCATTAACAAAAATGTTCTCTGAAGGAAGGAAATTCTCAAAAAATCGCACTTTTTCTCTCATTCCCAACTTTGTGATCGACTGCAAATTTAGCATGCCTTCCATGGAAATGCCTTTCCAAAGTACTCTTATTTTTTTGACAACCTCTCATTACAAAGCAAAAATGCAGGCAATCCTTCTGCACTGATAAAGAAAGCAAATGAATCCTGTGTTCTGATCAGATATCTTCCTTTTTTTCCCTTTGGGATCCATGGCCTGAGACACACCTGTCCCTTTGTTTACCTGGCACCGAGCCATGCTGAACGAGTGTTGCAGGCTAGGACCACTGATCTCTATGGCTATGACGCAAATTTTCGTGGGGGGCGCTAAAGAGCCGCAGGTTGCCGACCCCTGGTCTAAACCCTTAGATGTTGCTGAAAATTACCCACTGTGGCTTTAAGGAAAGCTAATAATTAGCACTGCTTGAAGGAAGTCCTCCAGACCACTAGGGGAGATGATCAACTCAGAAGGCACCAGGACCTTAGTAAAGGCTTACACAAGATGCTAAAAGAGATTAAGAGTAAAAAAATAATCAAAGAAAAACATACCCTTCCTTTCTTTCCTCAAAGTGCCTTCTGGATGTTATCCTATTAATGTGTTCATTAAGAGTCTTGTCCACATATATTAATTTTTAACAATGTCCACTTTATCTTCTGGTTATCATTGATGAATATCTCAGTTCAAAGTTGCAGAAATTATAAAAAAGGAAAGTTAGCAGAATTCCTAGCTGTGTTACATAAAGTCAATTACTTTTGAATCGCTTAACATTCCTCACTTTGTACAACACAATGATCATACCATGCTAAACTTATTGCATAGAGATGAGCTACACTTAAACACAGTCTTCATTCATATTACAAAGTAGGGCTCTGAAAACTATTGATAACACTGTATAAAGATTTTCCATTTTTTATTAAATTTAAGTTTTTTCAATTTTATGATATACTGTTGTAGATAATAATTTCCTTCAGGTGCACTATAAAGCCATAAGAACATCGCCAGTGAACTTCTAAGACAGGTTTTAAACAAAGCAGTTGACTGTTATCTGAAATTATAGAAAAGAAACAGATTACACAACTGCTAAGTGGAAAAACCAAAACATATCTGTACACGTAAAACTAACAGGCACACCAAAAAGAGAATTATTCAAAATAACATGTGTTATGTGATACCGCTTTGGGGGCTAATTGAATTACAGCTTTTCTTCATTTCTTTTCTTTGATTAAATGATTTACAAAGCCTTCCCTGTATATTTTAACTCTAAAACTATTTGTATTCACCAAAACACAGGAGAGATGAAGGTGTGGTCTAAAACCAAAAGACAAGCCCCGCTAAAGTGAGCCACATATATAAATCAAAGAAAGGCTTGGTTATTTGCTGATACTAACAAAATGTATTTGGTCACACTGGTTGTTGGGGTATTGCTTCTTTCAAAAGGTAAGTTTTTTTACCCATGCAATTTTGTTCTATATGTTTTTTTTATGTTTTATTACTGCACTTCAATAACCAGTACTGTAATTGGCTTTTAATTGACAATGTCTCTGCATTTACGCTGCATGTTATTCAGTATTTTAAAAACATTTGGTTTGTCTTTTCCAAATAATATATTTGAGAAAGGATTCAAAGTACTTTTTAATACCTTTGACCTGATCTATTATCAGCCAATGCCCTGAAATGTTTCGAGTGTGTACCAGGAACCTCTGAAACCTGCATTGACACAGCAAAGGAATGTCCCTCACCAAATAATCTATGTGCAGCAATGAGATTGGTAACATACGCAGGTATAAACTGTATGATCACAATTTGCTTTCAGTCACCTTTCAGGCACTCGTTTATTAGTTCTACTTTGTACATTTTGTAGGTGCCTCTAAGGACAAAGAGATCAAAGCCAAAATGTGTGCTCTGCGTGGAGATTGCATTAGAGGCTCAGTCAACTTTGGATCTGACAAAACTGTGATAGTGAGTGAGTGCTGCTCCTCAGAGCTTTGCAACATCCAGCACGCATCTGGTAATTTGAAACTTGTCCAGTTTTGTTTTTTAACCAATACTTTTATGAATAAAATATTCTGCATCTACAATTTACTTTTATTTTGTCCAAAGCATCCACACATTTTAAACAGATTCTTGTGTTAAGAACTGCATGCAGTTTGAAGAATGTGTGTTTTTTTTTATGTTTAACTGGGACTACATGATGTAAAAATCCCCAAATTGTTGTGTTTCAGAGCCCAACTTTGTTCCAAATGGAAAAAAGTGCTTCAGCTGTGAAGGAAATCAGTGCATGAAAACTCTAAACTGTGAGGGAGATCAGGACTACTGCATCACCTCAACAAGTGAGACATCTGTTTTATTTTCTAAGTTCCACATCTTTCTTTTAATAAATGTCATGAGCTTCTAAGATTAAAGAAGTGGACCACATTAATATATTTGTTTTCATCTTCTCAGTAAATGTAGCAGGGGAAGTCCAGACCCTGAAAGGCTGTGCCTCCAAGATTATGTGCTCAGAAAATCCCTCTGTGCTCTTTCAAAATTATATTGGATTGGGAAGCAGCTGCTGCCAGGGTGACTACTGCAATAGCGCCAGCAGTGCAAGTGCCGGCCTGCTCCTTTTGCCCACATCACTGTTATTTTTAGTCTTGTTTACATAGTTAATGGATGAACACAGATGCAGATGCAAAAACGTATTTGTTACAAATTTGTTTGAATTATGTTCAATGTGTAATAAAGTTCAATGTGTTTTGATTTTTTAAAAGAATTGTTACAAAGCTGAAAAGTAATTTTCCAGAGACAAGAAGTAATAAATACAGATTCCTCATTCAGTTGTCTGATGAACCATATTTAATTTACTTTGCATTTTAACTTTCAGAATGTTTTGGCAATTGATATTTATATATATTCACTTTAGGGGTTATTCCAGAAATGGAGGATATGTTATGTCCCTGCCATGAAATTTTAAACAATCCACAAAAATTGAATACACACACACCTGTTATGTAAATTAAAGTATCTGAAAACATGATATAACTGTAGCTGTAGTAAAAGTAATTCCTGAATTTATTTCCTAAATATTATATGCAAAACCAAATAGCTCCTGAGTGCTCCCTAAAACGTTGTTTTTTAAAATTGTCCCTCGTGATGCCAAAGTTACACACCAAATGTCAGAGAGATAAAACGAGTTTAAATCAGATTTTAAGTGTAAGATTTTGTTAATGTGTCTTCTTTGGCATTATTTCAACATTGCATTGTATCACAGACCTATTTTATATGGTAGTTACTGTGCTCTTAGGTTATGTCCCTCAAAATATATGCAACTGTTATAGAAACCCTTTAGGCCTTTCGAGGAAAAGTTGGCTACAAGATTAAGCAGAAATTACATCATCACATTAATTTCTCTTGTCATGGATAGCATTAAATAAGGTCCTCCTTCATATCTTTCATGTTTTCTTAATCTTTTCCTTGACTGCAGCAAGAGGATTATGTGAGAATAAATGAGGCAACTCCTTCTAGTTATTTAAAGTTTCACATACCCAGAAATTCTGGGCGAGGAGGAGGAGTAGCAACAATCTTTCAGTCTGGCTTACTGATTACTCCAAAGGCAGTTGATAATTACAACTGTTTTGAACATTTAACAATTAGTTTCCCACATCCAAATTGCAAAGCAAGAAAACCTCTTCTTTTTATAACTTTGTATACCTCCACCAGGTTATTAGTTTTAATTTTTAAAGGAATTTTCAGAGTTCATCTGATTTGGTGTTAAATACTAACAGGCTCATCATAGTGGGTGACTTTAACATCCAGGCTGACATAAAATTTTTAATGCTATCTTAAATTTTTAATGCATTTAATACTATCTTAGAGACTATTGGATTTGTTTAAAATGTGAATAGTTCCACACATTCTCATATTCATACTTTGGACCTTGTGCTGACATAGGCATAGAATGTGAAGAAATAACAGTATTTCCTCACAATCCTGTCCTCTTCTGACCAGTTTCTAATAATCTTCAGGATTATTTTAACAGAGTTCTGCTCCCCCAAAAGAAGGTTTCACTTTAGCCAGGCTCAAACTGTGCAATTTTTAGCCCTTTTCGGGATGACTTTCCAGTCATGCAACAATTTTCCGATCAGACCAACTTTCAGGTCATGCGTTGGGGCTATCAGGGGACGACCACCTCCCGATCAGGAATCGTTAGGTCGGGAGAAAATCAAACATGTCCGATTTTCTCCCGACCGTCTTGGACAAATTGCTCTTTGGGCTTGCGCAAACAAGGATTCTTCTTCTCCTTCCTCTCAGATGAAAACACAGTAGCATGGCAGGGGTGTGAGCGAAATGGAGTTCTTTCTGTAAAACTGACAGACCGTAGTAGCCACATTTGTTCAGCCATGTCATTGTCCAAATACGTTGTCGCCCTTTCTTTTTAGGGCTTTCAGCAAACAAATTGCACAAATTGCAAAGGCAGCACATTTAACTCTAGTGAGCTTCATATTCCCTTTCAACTCGTTCGGCTTCCAGATAGATGAGTCCGAGTAGCGCCATCTCACTGTGGAGCTGATTCAGACATGGTTTACAGTCATACAGTGTGAGCAGGTAGATCGCATCAGAGTGTCGGGCCGCATAGTGTGAGAACATACACCGTGAGCTGTGAACTTACACTGTACAACGAAACCCTGCAGCATCCTAGTGCCCTCTGTTGACCAGCTGCCACTGCTCTTCAGGCAGTCATCTTTAAAAGTCTCATTGGAACAGCAACAAACAAAAGTTTCAACATCATCGCCCAACTCAATGCAGATTCGAGATAAATCACTGAATAGGACTTTTATCCAGTCATCCACAGTCCACCATTGCTTTTCCTTAAGCTGGGCTTACACTGTGCGATTTTTTGCCCTTTTCGGGGCGACTTTTCAGTCGTGCGAGACTTTTCCAATCGAGCCAACTTTCAGCCTGATCGTGCGCCAGGTAGTATACAGGGGGTAACGAGGCGATCACCCTCTCACAACCACCTCCCGATCAGGAATCGTGAGATCGGCAGAAAATCAAACATGTTTGGTTTTCTTCTGACTGTCGTGGGCAAATTGCTCAGTGAGTATGCGCAAACAAGCATTCTTCTTTTTCTTCTTCCTCTCGGATATAAACACAGAGGCATGGCGGGGTTACGAGTGAAATGTAGGTGTTTCTGTAAAATTGACAGTCCGTAGTTGCCACGTTTGCTCAGTAATGTCTTTGTCCAAATACGTCATCACTTTTTCTTGTTAGGGCTTTCAGCACAAAACTGCACAAATTGCCAAGGTGGCGCGTTTCACTCTAGTGAGCTTCATATTCCTCTTCTACTCATTTGGCTTCCGGATAGACGAGTCAGAGTAGTTCCATCTCGCTGGGGAGCTCAGTCTGACGTGGTTTTTAGACGTACAGTGTGAGCAGGTAGATCGCACCAGAGCGTCGTGCTGCACATAAACCCTGCAGTTTCGTCGTACAGTGTGACCTGTAGCTGCGTGCAATGACCAAAAAAATTGCACAGTGTATGCCCGGCTTTAACCCATTGTAACCTTGTTTTTTCCCCGTTTAGGTGTTAATGATGGCTTTCGTTGAGCTTTTCTTTTAGAAAAATCCCATTTTCTTCAGCTAGTTTCTTATAGTTAGGACACTGACGTTGACTCCGGTTTTCCTCCCATTTGATCCTCATTTGTTTTGTTGTGCATTTTTAGTTTTTTAAACATATTGTTTTAGGTTTTCTGTCTTGACGCTTTGATGTCTTCCTTGGTCTACCAGTTTACTTACCTTTAATAACCTTCCTATTTGGTTTGTTTTTCGTCTAGATTTTAGACACAGCTGACTGTGTACAACCAACATATTTTGCAACATCGTATGATGATTTTCTCTCTTTTAAGAGTTTGATAAACCTCTCCTTCGTTTCAATTGACATCTCTTGTGATGGAGCCATGATTCATGTCCGTCCACTTAATGCAGGAGCTCTCCAAGGTCTGATCACTCCTTTTTATTAATTAGATCTGAATATCCATCCGTACTTCCATTTCTCCCATTTAATCCGTGTGTCATGATCATGGCCCTGAGAGCTGGCTTCATTGTTAATTTTATTCACTTGCCTAACTCTGCCTGGTTTCCATTTACCATTCATTTAATCTGGCTGCTTAAGCTTCTTTACAAATAAGTTTATACATCTTGGTTAAAAGGGTTTAATCTTGGTGCTACAAGTTGTGCAATAAATGAATGCTTTGGTTAGTTCTGTTTGTTGCTTTGTTGTA